AAAATGAACCGCAAGGAGGAGTGCTTTGTCATCACGCGTGACGTGGCGCCATACCTCAGGCTGATCCAATGACCTGACATGGACCCAGTTATCGACCATGTATTACTCTGTGCGGCGGCTATCCACCAACTAACTTAAATACTTACAACAAATAAACGGTAGGTGTTTAAATGAAGCTGTTTCTTATGCGAATGCAAATCGAATTGTCAAGTTTTATCTGCTAGGGTTGTGAAAGTGTTTGGCTGAGTAGATCACATCTCAATTTGACCTTTCCAGGCTCTGAAGAAGGCGAAACCGCCGAAACGTCAGCAATTGTGTTCTAATAAATTCTATATTAACAACCTCGTGTCTGCTTATTGATGAAAAACATTGAATTATCTCAGCATCATTGAAGTTAAGTAACGAGTATAAATGTTATTCCGATTGCTACAAAGGGATTGTTCATCATGAAAATAGATGAGCGTGAATGGATAGTTGATCCAGAACTGCCCATATCCTCGGAAACCACCGGCCAGGACTCATTAGTGTTGTACATTATTCCGCTGGATTCGATCAGATTCGACTAAGAAGATAAAAACGCAAAGAAAACTGTTGTGCTACCACTGCTACCACACTAATCCGACTAACAAGCGCTGGTATCAAATTGGTGCAGAAAGAATGACTGTTTTCGTCCTTATGAGATTTACGAGTAGATCTTGTACTTGCTTTTATCTTTTCTCTCTATCATAGGAGCTACTGTGACGCAGTGGTTAGAGGCATACACGTAGGATCGACCCTCGCGCCCTAGGCTCACCAGGCCTTCCATTTCTTCGGGGTTTGCAAATTGGTACCAGACTTGTCTGGTAGGGGAGCAGCACAGATTCGATACATTATTAGACCACAGTGAGTCATTGTATAGGCCAAATATGCATTCAATCACCTCAGACGATGCCTAATGAAGTCGAATGAATGACGCATTCCTCAGAAATTGATTAATGCCGAGAGCTTTATGCTCTTTTATCCTCTATCATTTTAAAGCTTACTTCTTGCTTAACCATGAGGCTTGTCCTACGTTTTTATGCGGCAGATAATTCATCTTCCATTAATTCTATACGATAGGTGCGACCAGTGCAACGAAAAGGTCGGGTAAAGCTCTTAAGAGCTTCCTATAACATAGCAGATCTATGCAGCGATGATCAATTGAAAATGTTAGGTCGTGTTTAGCGACCATAATTTACACAACTAATTCCACAGAATGTGAACGAGTAAGAAACTACGGAACTCTGCTTAATCCAGCATAATCAGCAGAGCTTTTAGCAACTGAGTATCGCATTTCAAGCACTTTGAAAGATATAATACTTTAAGAAAATTGTTAACGAATCAGTCGCGGAAGAAAACTTCCTCAGGGAATTCATCGTTTCCTGAATTTTGGGATTATAAGTGAATAAATAGAGTCGTCCCAAAACGACAAAAACGCGTGGAAGCTTATCCGTCCCATTTTGGTTAATGAAGTCATTCTTGATTATCATACAGAAAATTCTCATTAGAAACTGCCCATTCTTTTTGCACCAACGGAATAGAATAGCATAGGACAAAGTGATATCCCCGTATTTCTCCATCGGATTTCGATGATTGCAGTTACAAGTTTAGATTTTATCTACGAAGCATGAATCCCTATAGGAAACCTGTTTGCAAAACTGGTTGGGATTCATCCAACCATCCAGAGTTCTTCATCAACAACCAAGTCAGTTTATGATAGCGAAGATCTCCTTGGTCACACTGACGGCGCTTGACCTTATGTGACCATGAGTGGTCTTCCATCGGTTAACAATCCTTCCCCTCGAAGAGATGTCCTCATGTACATTGCCAGAATTACGTGCCTTTCGTGGATTCTAGCTTGTAGGTAGTCCGTAATGGTACTCTGTTTATGCTTTTGGTCGCAATTAAGAAATAAGAAGAAGCAACTTGGATGATACTCGTCAAGAGAGGAATTTGAGATCTTGAACTGGAGTAACTCCGTAACCGTAAGGGGACAGATTAGACTGCAACTTTTCCACTATTAATTCCATATCATGGACCAGGATGGTCGATAATAATATCACATTCATTCATCAAAATTGATGAAGGAACCCATTCGCACAGGTTCCGACGTATTCCTTTGGACTGGATCCTTTTAAGCTGCTTCCAAGGAATAAAGTAGGAATCGAACTTTTCGACCGTGATGCAAGTATACGACAGTCTTAGAGTCGACAGAGACTCTTAATCATTGAGGAACTACGACGCATTCAAATAGCTCGTAACCCTAGAGCACGCATTCCTCAATGTGTAATGTAGCGAAAGGATGCTCTTTGGAACATCGACGTATCCGACTGTTTCTCAGCGACGAAAGTTCTTCTTCAGCATACTGCCGACTAATGATAGCAATGGCAGTAATAGTAAGAAAAAGAAGTAAAGAATTTTGAGGTAAATTCTTAAGGGTCCATTCATCTACCATCTTTATTCAATACACTGACAATTTTTCGATTACCGAAATAAGAGGACTTCAAAGAATGGCAAATTTGTGGACTAAGATGAGCTCACTCTCGAACGTGGTTAAATTCTTGACTTTTGCCGCGGGAGGAATCAGAACAGAAATATCCTGGAGGATGAGAAGAATGAACAATTTGAAAGGAGGAAAGATAGTGAATCTGAATGAAAAGAAGAATTCACCTGATCGATATTGTTTAGCAGTTGTCAAATGGCAGAAACGTACGTTTTCTTAACGGATTATTCACGTAAAACAAACAACGACTTAGTCATTTGTGTTCATCTACAGTCTCGACGACGATTATGATGTCAGCTTCTTCATCGAACGTCGACCTACCGACATCGATGACGAAGGGACGATTTTAAATCAGAAGAGTGTCATTGTTTGATACACAATAGAGATTCATCAATGAAGACTGAATCATAATTTAAACAATGACAGAACACCAGTGAAAATCTCGCAACCCACGTAGATTATGTTTTTTTGAGTAAACACCAAGTACGAAATCTATGAGGGGGTCATTTTGTTATAACATTTGAACAAGTTTACAGTTGTGCTAAATTTTTTTTCCTTGTTTCATTCATGAAACGCTCGAGTTCTTCTGAGTGCTGAAGGACTAAAGGGTATGACTTCAGAAATTCATAGAAATGACTGGGCTATCCGCTCTAGAGATAAACGCAGATGTTTTTTTTACACCAGAATTTTCAAACTGACAACAAATAACACGTTAACAAGTCGATTTTCTACGGTTTCACGTCTATGCGATCCCGACGATCGCCATGGTCTCGGGCTGGGCGAAGTCCTACTTTCCCAACCTCGTCGCTTTTCCAATTGCCAGCCTTGATGGAAGGAAAGAAAAAAGAAAAAGAAAAAGAAGAACACAGAATTTTACTGCCATTTTTAATGTATACATGACGCCGTGTCACATAATGTGCGGGATCTCAGTATTTATTGCATTTGATTCGTTTCCCTACATCCCTTGTCCACGAGGGTTCTCGAACTTGCGTTTTGGTTCGGTTGCTGCTTGAGTATTCTGATCTTCTTCATGGATTTTGTTGGATACTGGAGAGTAAGTTCTCGCTAGAATCCTTGGATTGCTAGGGCGTTTCCAGGCCTCCACCACAAGCAATCACCAACCTTTATGGAATAGAGCAAACCTCCCAGACAAATCTGGTACCGATTTCGCAACCGTGAAAGAATGGGTGGCTTAGCCAACGCGGTGCTTAGTCAAACCTAAGTTTTGCATTCGTGCCATCTGCACCTCTATCACCATGGAATAAATAAATATGGCACTTGTTGGCAAACACTTTAGATTTTAATGGTTTTATTTGAAATAGTGAAATCCATAATAGGCAGAAATAAAAATATTTACTGGATTAGGTGACTATTGCATTGAGCTGAAGACGATAGTTTGACTAATCAAAGAAAGAATGATAGTGGCAAGGCCGCAAATCTTCCAATGCATAAGGGTAGGTCAGTGCCTGCGGTGAAGACCTGGAAGCATCCCATTACAGCTTTCAGGATTCCAGTGAAAACTTTGCCCAACCGGTATTCATTGAACATGTAAATAAGAGCATCCTTTCTTCAGTTCAAGTTTAACCTACATCTTTAACTCGACCGTCTCCATAAATAACGTTTGCAGGACAACAAAATGTTTAGACGAAGTGATGGTAGCGCACAACATGTGAACACGAGCCTTATATGTGCCTAATCAAGTAACATTTACCCGCTTAGATTAAACGATAAACGCACAGTTGCTTCTACATGATATTCTAGCTACCATACAACAAAATGCGCATGTAGCGCAGTGGTTCGATGGCCTGCAATACACACGTGGTCCTTGGTTCGATCCTTCGCCACATGCTCATCAAGCCTTCCATCACATCGCTATCGACAAATTGTTATCAGACTTCTATTGGAAAGATAATAGCACTCAATTGCTCCATTGGTAGGTAACTGTAATTCACTGTATAGGCCAGCAATGCATTTAACGGCATCAACGATGATACGAATGGAATCAAATGGATAGCGCATCTCTGAAGAATAGATCATCGTCGAAGGCTTTATCCTCGATGTTATTTGCAGTAAACCAAGGTAGATGAAATTTGCATAACGCATCTGCTAAGCGAACTTGTTCAATATTCATACTCAGTGGTTCTTCGTGTTAGGAAACGGAACCAACTGCACTGAACTCAATCGTCTCCTGCCTTCGTGAATTTTTTAGGAACTATTGCAGCAATGTCATACGAATGTAAAATCACTCTTAAAGTGCTTCTTTGGAGAACGATTCTCCATCGCAGTATCGTTCCACAAGAAGGATTACCACCAATTTCGTTAAGAAAAATGCCATATAGTAATGATTTTGAAGGAAATGTTAGCATTTAATGAGAGAAAAATCGCGCTCCAATCTAACAACTGACGGCTCAGGCTCGTCTTGCTGTGTTCCAGTTAGTAATATTTTGGTTTCATCTTCACTTCACTTCCTGATGGATAGATGGAAGTTTTCGAATCGAAAATCGAAGAGCTAGTGGATCTCCGTGACGGATTCTTCGAGAAATATCCAAATGGTACCGAGGCTGAGAGGGTGAAGACAGTGCGGGAGAAGTCTTTACTACTTCTTGAGGTATGTGTGTTTACGTCTTTTGTTTTCATTTACCATCGAGAAGCCGTTTTGGAGTAGCGCTTCAGGTATATTACGAGAAAATAAGTTGATTTTAAGAATGAGTTGTTTTTTCTGAACAGTGAAGAATTGGAAAATCGTTGGAAACGATGGTGCTTTTTTGTACTGCTCTTTCGTTGTTTAAAAGGAAGCTGGGTATTCTGCATTAAACAGAGGTCTGTAATCGGATGGACTCTAGATCTTTTTCTCATTCCAGGATGTTCCGCTCTCGGAATTTCCTCGGTCAGCTGGGAGATATCTCCAGTGCGGTCGCATACTGAACGCGTGTGTTGCATACGATTCGCGTTGTGAAGAGTTCCTGAGTAAAGCAGTGAAACTTGGTAGATTTCATTTTAATCTAACAAAATAATCGATCTTCCTTTAACCTCGGCATGAATGATCAATGTACCTTCTTTCATTGATGAACTAACGCGAGGTTGATAAAACAAACTTTATTGAGCTATTGACTAGAAGCGCGTGTAGAGCAGTGATCGGAGGCGCCCTGCAACACACACGTGGAATCAATCCCACGCCCATGGCCCACCAAGCCTTTCATCCCTTTGGGATCGGCAAATTGGTACCAGACTTGTCTGGGAGGATAGCAGCGCTGGCTCGATACATTGGCAGGCCACCGTGAATCATTGTAAAGGCCAGATTTGCATCCAATCACCTCCAGCGACGTTTAGTGAAGTCGAATGCGTGGCCCATCCTTCAGGTATTGGTCAACGCCGAGAGCTTTATCTTTTTTTTCATTCGGTTAGCGTTCGAGGTTTTCGTTTTTCTCAGAGTCGACGACATCTCTCAGCTGTCATTGGCTCTGATGAAGGCAAAGGCGTCGAAACGCTAGCTGAATAAAGTTTATTTTATCAACCTCCAAGGAACTAATACTCCTTATTCTTACTAGTAGCTTTGTGCTATCGTGTCCATAATATATGTAGAGCAACTTCATGTTTTAAATGTACTCTTCTTTTTCTGATCCGGATGCACTAGCTTGGCTGGAACTCGGAATATGTCTTTCGAAAAAGCCGGACATACAGTTTGCCATTGAATGTGTCGAGGTACATTTTTGGAATTTGCTGGTTGTTTTTTTGACTATTATATTCTTTTTCGTGTTAGCAAAGTCTTGAGTTGGAAAGATCCTCTCGAGCGCTGTACACACTTTCGATGCTTCTGAGAGCAAAAATGATGAAGACTGTCGATCCCATTGAAAGATCCACTCTCCAGTAAGTGTTGGATACTGTTACTTCATGAAAAAATGGAATGGAGATCAGCGTTCCATGTTTAGGAAGTGCTCATCTCAATTGGCTTTTGAAGCTGTTGAAATGGACCCACAGTCTGGTGCTGCGCACTCTTGTTTGGGTAACTCGCTGTTCCTTGAGTTCTTCAACAACGGCCAGGTCAATCCAGATCTACTGGTAAGATAGTGTACTTGAAGTTGATTTCTGATGCACAGAGTTGATATATAATTTCTATTTACATGTGAAATATTCAGGCATAAGAGTCTTTGCGTTTATACGAGTTATATTTTACATTTCCATTCGGTCAAAGGCTCATAAGCACATGAACGGAAAGGAGGTAGGGTAAGATTTGAAGTCGTCATCCAGTAGATAGGTCCCGCATGTGCTTCAAAAAGCCGGCTAGCCGAGGGAATTTTAGACGTTAAAAATAAACTATACAGTTTCCCGCGAAAATGCTAACATCATGGATATTCTTTTATGTCTTCGTGGTCTGAAGATAAGCCACAGTATCTTCGAACTATTACGGCTTACTAAACATTGTAAAAACAAGAAGAAAGATCGTTTATGACAAAGGAGGCGAACTGTCATTTGGATCATGCTGATGTAGAGTCACTGAATTGGTTTCCTCGTCAATACGATGTTAGTTACGAAAATCGATTTCTTTGGTTATCTAGTAAATCGGATCGAATGTTTGGAATTTTATACTAGAGTTTTATGTAAACTTTAAGAAGTTCTATGTGGACAGTAGTAGCTCATGAAACGTCACCGTTGATCACCACTATGAAAAATAGACCACTCGCTTCGTATTTTTGTTGAGCAAACGCGAGGTGTTATTATTCTTAATTCACGAATAAGATGACGTTTCGGCGGATTTCGCCTTCCTTAGAGCCTGGAAAGGTCAACTTGACAGCAGTCTATTCGGCCAAACACCTCCATAACCAAGCAAAGAAAACGCTAAACCAAGATTTCAATCACATTAAATACAGCTTTGCGCACTCACCGCTTTCTATGAGGTTTCCACTGAAGATGTCACATGAACACCAACTGCATAGAGTTCACGTGGAATCGTAGTATGCCCCTCCCATCAGAATAACAGGCTTATATACTGCCCAATATCACGCGTGATAATGACGCATTCTTCCCTGCAGTTCATTTTCGGATTTCTGGAATTAATCCAGAACGCCTCGAGAGTTTTGCGCGCTTGTGTTTTCGATTCCTGTGCGAGGATCGTGACACGTGCTTCAAAGTCCTCCCCGTTATGTCTCTGGGTTCTATGCGTGCCTAGTGGGTATTTGGTTTACGTTTGCCCACTAGGTGTTCTTTTATGCGGACACAGAGGGGTCTGCCCGTTTCGCCAATATATTCGCCTCCGCACGCCTCACAGGAGATCAGATAAACTATACCCGAGCTCATGCAATCACCATCTTTACCATTAGGGCAAATTATACAATTTTGAATTGCACATAGACGGTCATATAGGCGAACTTCATCAAACAAAGACGACTACACGACGTATGCGGACTACCAGAGGAGAGTCACCGAGTATTGGTCATCGAATTGCGAATACTACGCACCTGTCTATGAAGCCGACAAAACCATATGTTCGCCAAGTGGAAGAAGTGCGAGACGAAGGCATACTTTTGTGCTCAGTATTTGGAGGACCGTCTCTGGAGGAGAATAGTGGGCAGGCTCTGAGGAAGGCGAAATCCGTCGAAACGTCAGCTTATTCGT